TGTATAAGGCCAGGGTGTTCCTGCATTGAATTAAATTAAGCACGTGTTTGGCTTCAGATTTGTGCCAAAGTGCCATTTCCTGTTTGTCCGATCCGACCTCAGTGCGACCTGGAGAGAGTGTAGAGACACTTTAGAGTGCATAAACAAACTCAGGCCAAATAAATAATGTTCTTTACCACAAATGTTGAAGAGTTGTTGTTTTTAAAATAAAATAGCTTGAAATCTCATTCATATCCATTATCCAAACCGCTTTATCCCTACAGGGCTCATGCACATACAATGTATGGTGTCCCCAATTGACTTATTGGATTCAACCGGAGCGCCATGAGGAAACCCAGAAGATGCTCAGCACAACACAGAAAGGCCTCTGGTTGAGCCGGGACTCGGACGTTGGATCTTCTTTCTGACTGACAGCTTTCTTGTCCCCATGTTGAGAGAAGTGGTAAGTGCAGAGGCGCTGTGTGTGAACATGATGCTTATTCTTGATCTAGACTACATTAACGTGACGTGAGAATGCGTTTACTCACAAAAACAGATTCACTATTCCTCAAAATGCTAAAAAAAAATGCAAACTCAGAATATTACGTAAACTTTTCTTCTCTGTCTTATTCTTCTGCAGTCCAGAATGGCAGCGCAGGTGAAAGGTTTGTTCAGGTGTGATTTTGTGTTTCCTTTTACATTTGCATTTTCCATTTTGGAAAATGTAAAGGCCCTTTCACATCAAAAATAGGGATGCTCCACCATTTTTCCATTTTAAACTGTTATTCCCTTAACTTCCTGGTCAAGACAATCTCCTGAACTCCAGACTGAATGTCAGAATGGGAAAGAAAGGTGATTTAAGCAATTTTGAGTGTGGCATGGTTGTTGGTGCCAGACGGGCCGGTCTGAGTATTTCACAATCTGCTCAGTTACTGGGATTTTCACGCACAACCATTTCTAGGGTTTACAAAGAATGGTGTGAAAAGGGAAAAACATCCAGTATGCGGCAGTCCTGTGGGCGGAAATGCCTTGTTGATGCGAGAGGTCAGAGGAGAATGGGCCGACTGATTCAAGCTGATAGAAGAGCAACTTTGACTGAAATAACCACTCGTTACAACCGAGGTATGCAGCAAAGCATTTGTGAAGCCACAACTCACACAACCTTGAGGCGGATGGGCTACAACAGCAGAAGACCCCACCGGGTACCACTCATCTCCACTACAAATAGGAAAAAGAGGCTACAGTTTGCAAGAGCTCACCAAAATTGGACAGTTGTTGCCTGGTCTGATGAGTCTCGATTTCTGTTGAGACATTCAGATGGTAGAGTCAGAATTTGGCGTAAACAGAATGAGAACATGGATCCATCATGCCTTGTTACCACTGTGCAGGCTGGTGGTGGTGGTGTAATGGTGTGGGGGATGTTTTCTTGGCACACTCTAGGCCCCTTAGTGCCAATTGGTCATCGTTTAAATGCCACGGCCTACCTGAGCATTGTTTCTGACCATGTCCATCCCTTTATGGCCACCATGTACCCATCCTCTGATGGCTACTTCCAGCAGGATAATGCACCATGTCACAAAGCTCGAATCATTTCAAATTGGTCGGATCAAAGAGTGATTGAGTGCACTGAGACGAGAGATTTATGTATCAACTCGTCTTAGTTAAGGGAATAACATAGTATAATATGAAAAAAAAAAACGGTGGAGTATCCCTTTAAGCGAGCCCAACCCAGGTGAGAAAAAGTAACACAAAGCAAACAAAATCCGTTACTTTACATTACTTTACAAAGAAAATAATTCAATTAGTTTCTTCTTTTAGGGAGTAACACAACAACATTCATTTTAAAAGTAACTGTCCCCAAAACTGTTAATCAGAGTACTGTAATCTTATTAAATGTGTGGCACAAACATTATTATATTTTTGCAGACAGAATAGTTCATCATGTTAGTCATTTGTGCTATTTTTTTGCTTGTGAATATGAAGCACAGTTTGAATATAAGCACAGGAATGGGTTTGTTAACATAACAATCACATAATGGTCATTCACAAATCCAAATCCATTATTTCAGCATTCTGGTATAGGTTAAACAGTAGGGCATCCTGATGCCGAAACAAAGGTTTTGGGTTCAAATCACAGTCATAGCAACCCAGTCATAATTATGAGATGAAAATTCAAAATTATGACTTAAAACCCTCATAATTATGAGATAAATGTTTCTAATTATGATGTCATTATTTCAATAATTAATCACATAATTATGACTTTTTAACGTCATAATCTTTTTATCTCAGATTTCTGACTTCTATGTCATAATTTCGGAAATGGACTTCCATACAAAATTTATGAGGTTATAACAAGTAATTTTGATTGTCTATTATTTCTTATAATAGATTGATTACTTGCACATCACGGTATGTTCAGATGCATGTGTGGCATTATTGAAATGACTCTGAGGTCTGAAGATGGCCACTTAAGGAGAAGGACGAGAATATAGTTTCATGCTGATGGAATGGTATTCAGGGAACTGTTACTCGACACATGAAGCGACTCGTGTGAACCGATACAACACACCACAGAGCTTGTGAATGTATTAATAGAAATGTGAAGAATTTGAAAACTTAAGGAAATGATGAAAATCTGTTCAGAAAGGAAGGTGAGAGGAATCTGAATAAGCTGTGAACTGCAATAGTGAAATCATTCCGGATGAATGCCAATCATCTTGACAACTTAAAGAATGGGGCGAGTCCCAATTGCATGTGTTTCGTTTTAATCAGACAAGAAATCCCACAGGAAGGAAACTGATGTAATGATGATTTTACTCTGCCTTGCGCAAAGTTGCATAATTCTTTGTGTCATCATTCTTTATTAAACCACTGAGACTAAAGGTACAACCACAACCCGAGTTTCAGGTGTCAAATAAAGGACTGAAGTCATCCGTGAAAGGTGTGAGTACAGCTTTCATTCTCAGCTCTCTCTCTTTCTCGCTCTGTGTGTGGAGAGAGAGAGAGAGCTGTGAATGAAAGCATAACAGAAGTACTCACACCTTTCACAGAGGGCCCCCTCCCCCCCCCCCACACACACACACACACACAAACACACAGGTGTGAAATAATAGAGAAATATTTTGTTTGTTTGTTATCAGGGAAAAGAGCATTGTTCTGTGAGAGAACAAGAAAACTCAGTTTGGCATCAGTTCCTCCTCGGTTAACTTTCCCGATCCTATCTTCCTCTCTCTCAATTCATTTCCTGTCAGTTTTCTAAACTATCATATCTCGGTGAAGGCCAAAAATAACCATTAAACAGAAAAATAAGCCACTGAAAATAGATACAGACCTGTAATGAGCCAGTACAGATTTTCTGAAGAAAATGTGAATGCTGTTTGCCTGAGCAAAACTCAAAGTCACGATGGATTTGCAGGTTGCTGGTTGCTAGAATGTTCTGGTTGCTTGTGTGTTCTGTGGTTGATGGATGGGTTCATTCAGAACTATCTTGTCAAATGTCATATGAAATATCAGGATATTTGATCTTCTTAAAGGAGTAGTTCACTTTAAAAAAAAAAACTTTTGCTGATAATTTAGTCACCCCCATGTCATCCAAGATGTCCATGTCTTTCTTTCTTCAGTCGAAAAGAAATTAAGGTTTTTGATGAAAACATTCCAGGATTTTTCTCCATATAATGGACTTCAATGGAAACCAAACGGTTCAAGGTCCAAAAGACGGTTTAAGTGTAAACTGCAAACTGTTCAAAGGGCTTTAAATGACACCAGACTATGAATAAGGGTCTTATCAAGCGAAACGATCACTCATTTAAAAACACAACAACAAAGTTTAAGTTTTATAAGCTCTAATGGTCGCCTTGCTCTGTTCTGTGATGCGTTCGTGACTCTCCTGTTCGAACATCAACGAACGAATCTTTTCTCGTGTCATTTGGTTCATTCAAACGAACGAAATGAACGAGTTGACTCGAGAAAAGATTTGTTCATTTTGAAAAATCCTGGAATGTTTTCATCAAAAACCTTAATTTTTTTTCGACTGAAGAAAGAATGACACGGGGTGACATGCGGGTGAGTAAATTATCAGCAAAAGTAAAAAAAATAAAATAAAAAAAAATGAACTACTCCTTTAATGCTGCTTCTCTGCACTCCATTATTCACAGATCAGAAGAAGAGAACCGGGAACACTTCCCATAAATCCTGATGTACTTGTTACATCAGTCTCTTTGTTTATCCTGAGGTTTACAGCAGTCTTCTGGATCCAGGCCGTATCTGGATCTGATGAAGGACCTGCGCCTGGACACGGCGACAACGCAGCCCTGGTCTCTCGTTGATAAGCGTTGTCGGGATAATTCTGGATCATGTGGCTACGCATAAACAATAAAATATTCTGTATTATAAAATTTTCAAGGCCTGCACCTTGGAACCTATTTCATGATTTGCGTTCTCGAGCCACCAGACACTGTTTTGTGTTAGAACAGTGTCGCGTTAGCGTTGATAACTAATGATCGTTGCGAGTTGTGACAGAAGTGAATCAATCAAAAACTAACTTTAGCTGGACAGTAACTTTATTCTAGAGCTGCTGTAAAGCCAAAAAAAATCTCTGTTACTCTGTAATTTCCTATCACTGTAAAACAACCTATATTGTTAAAAGCGCTATACAAATGAAGGTGACTTGACTGTCACTCTAAAAAATGCTGGGCTGTTTCAACCCATGTTTGGGTCAAACCAGGCGCGTAGCCAGTATTGGGCCAGGGCGGTACTGGCCCGCCCACGTTACTCACTGGCCCGCCCAGGCAAGTTTGATAAAAAAAAAATACATTTTTAGTTTATTTTTATTATTCAAAATGTATTTAAGAAAATATATTAATATATACCTGATTTATTATTGACTGCTGTGTGTGTTTGATTCGTTTCCCAAATAAAATGGAACTGTCGAAGCAAGTTATAGAAAGCCTCCCTCCGGAACGTTATTGGTTGCTATGGTTGCTGGGGGTTCCGACAGGAAAACTCACTGGCACCGACGCCACAATAATGGCTAAACAACTTTCTTTAATGTGCTATTTGTAAAAAGCGAGAGTTGAAGAAGAAACCACGCCACTGCCTTCATCTACCGAGTCCACACAGCCCAGTTCTTCAGACTCATTAACCCACAAGAAGGTTAGTCAGGTGCTGGCGGCGGCCGCTTCTCTCTCCCTCTCTCCCGGTCAGCCTGACGCGGGTTTACCCGCCGATCTAACCTCGATATTATTATTATTTTAGCTTATACGTTACTTTCGGGTGAACTGTCTTTACACTGCTGATTAGCCTGAATAAAATAGAGAGGTTATTGTCTAACGTTACTGGTTTATCCAGCCTTTATAGAGCTCTGTTGATTGAACATGATGATTTGCCGAATACAAATATAGGTTTTGCAGTTTGTCTATTATTTTTTCTACTTTCTAAGGTTAATTATTATTGAAGTCACCGGCTCACCCAAAATTAAATTTCTGCCTACGCCACTGGGTCAAGGACAAACCCAACCATTGGTTTAAATTAAACACTTTATAACGGTTAATTTAAACCGACTGTTTTTAGAGTGACTAAAATCACTCTAGGCAAGGCAAGTTTATTTATATAGCACTTTTCATACACAGTGGCAATTCAAAGTGCTTTACATAGAAGAAATTAAAATAATCAAAAGAAGTCAGAATAATTAAAACAGTTTAGAATAAAAAAATCATAATAGTAAAAATAAAATACAGTGTCGAAAATAAAATGTATAGTACAGTCGGACGAACAGTGGCACAGTGCTCATTCAGTAAATGCAATCAATATCAATAAAAACAGTTAAGAGTAAAAATAAAATACAATAAAGTAATACCCCTATCTGAGATGGAAGATAGACTCTAAAAATAGACTGAAATCCAGTGATGCAAGCTATTAAAAATAAGCTATTATTTGATCATTTATTCAAGGTTCCAGCCTTGCACATTATAGGCCTACACTCATGGGATGTATATCCGCAGAATCCACTCCATCGGCTGGAGGCAGAGCAGGAATAAACTGGTTTGGCAGATATTTATCCTGCCGGGATGTTTCCCTGCGCTGGCTTGAACCAGCAGGGATTAACTAAGGGTGAATGTGTCTCTCTGGGCATGTCTGAACCCATATTTCTGTGTAGGAGAGAGATCTAGAAGGAGAGAATGGCATCTAGGAGTGGGTGGCAAAAAGGAAACCTCCTCACGCTCATACACCCATAACATTGTCATCGATTACATATCAGATTATATCATGGGCCCGTCAGGATTGTTGCCATGGGACTCAAAACAGAACCAAGACATATAAAATCCATGTCATAATGGTGTCATATAGTGATCACTTTTTTCAGTAAACAAAAAAATATTTATTTGTCATATTTGTCGAATGGAACCAAAAATTTTTATATATATATATATATATATATATATATATATATATAAAATGAATGATAAAACTTAAAGTCTAAGTTGTATAAAACTGTATTGTACTGTGATGTAATGTCCTGTCCATGATGTAATTTTATGATGTAAATGTCATGACCATACATGTAACATACATTGACTTTGATCATTTATTATATTGTCCACAATATTATTCATATTTTATATTTCTTATATTAAAGATAATAGGGGTGGGGTACAAATATTCATATGAGCGATTATATTTTCTACCCATTCACATCGATTTACAAATTTCAAAAATCGTTAAAAATACCTTTGCACTAAAGTTATTGACATGTTAGACTGTTATTAATTACAATAAGCCATGAAAAAAAAATGTCTCAATGTGGTGTATAATTATTATTATTATTATTATTATTATCTTTACACCAACTTTTTCAACAATTTTAATTTACTAATAAAGATTATGTTTATCATATTCATACATTTATTCAAGTCACTGTCTACATTTTATGTATTTTTGTAAATACATTAACAGACAAGTAAAAATATAATAAATCCACAAACAATCAGTCCTTTTCATTTAAATATTATGTCGCAAAGTAGAATATCAGAACCGGATCTATATTTCTTAAATCTGTAATGAGTAAACCAGTTGAAACAGATCATGTGAGGAAAGCTTTTAAAAGTATTTTATCTGATTCTGAAAACTAGTTTTTAATTCAAAAGACCTTTACCTTGAGATTGTCTTTACAATCACATCTATATCTCATCTTGATCCTAAAACAAACAATCTGGTACCTAGAAGAGAGTAGTGAAGATGACACTCCATGAACTGTAGATCACGATGACAATGAATTCTAGATGTCTGGTGGCGGACTGAACATGTCAGGCTAAATATAGGATGATTGTGATCTTGTTTTATTTGTTTCCTCAGCACAATGAATGACAGAAGGGAGTTTACCAGTAAACGGTGTAAACTTAATTGTAGTAAGTAGAAGTTACACCTGCAGGGAAATCTCACCTGTAATAACCTCTGTTGCAAAAGCTTTCTATCATAACTGAGCCATATATCAGTCAAATATTTCCATATAAACTATTATAGAAATGTTTTTTGAATAGTTATTGCATTGTGATAAACAATGTTTTAGCTACGTCATGAATATGTCAGTGTAAACATAGTAGAATATAAAAATTTGCTATGATAACATTTTTTCATTGTCTTTTACATATATATACACACACACACACATTAAATCGCATGTTCATAAAATTCCTCTTCATTCGTTTAGAATAAACACAATACACAAGTTTTTGTAAACAAAAACCAATTACAAACTGTTTCATAAAGTACTTTATTGAACATGAACTAAGAATGAGCAATACTCCTACAGCATTTATTAATCTTAGTTAATTTCAACATTTACTAATACATCATTAAAGTCAAATGTTGTATTTGTAAATATTAGTTAATGCACTATTAGTTAATACACTTTAAAGCGGCAGACGATAAATAATGTAGCATGAGATTTAAAGCTACACTGTGTGATTTTTACCCTCATCTAGTGGTGAAAATGTATATGACCATCCATTGAATATTAGTTTCTGTTCCTCTCAATTCCGATTTCGTTTTAACTCCTACGGTGGCCAATGTAGTCCAAGATTAACATGGCTTCCAGTTCGACCTCGTCCATGAGTGTTAACTCAAACGTAAACGCGAAAGGCGAAGCTTGAATTAACGGGTATGTCCCTCTTTGGCTAATGTACTTTCAAGATGGAGGGGCAACATGGCGACCGACATTAGATCCCCTTACCCGTATGTATTTTCAATGGCATATTATACACTCACGAGAATACTAAGTAAATATACATTAATGAGCACATATATTTTTGAAAGAACTAAGAATAAACTAAAAGAGTTACACAGTGTACCTTTAAGGATATGTCAATACAAACATTATCTTTCCAAATGCAAATGGAAAACTCACAAATCATTTTCAAATTGTGAATCAGTTTAAATATAACAAAAGACAAGTGAAAAGTCCCAACTCAACTCACAATGTGTTTTCCAAACCTCCCCACTAGGTCAGGATCAACATTATTTCCGGTGTTTATCACATGCTCTGCCCGAGTGTTCATTTCCTTCTCTCTCCTCCACGCGTGCCAGCGTAGGCTACTTGAGCAGAAGAGAGGAAATAACGTTACATCACCCTCAAGTGTTGTTTAATAGAGGCCTTTCCCAAATCCTTCATCACTTTCACATGGAATGGTCATCTAGTTGAGCCGCTCGCGTGAGTCGTGACTTTGAGGATGAAGAGGTCAGCTAGTCCACCAGAATGACAACGCATTTCCTAGCAGTTGGGTTTTTTATTTTGATAGATTTTGCCGGTCAGGCTGTGAAAACATTACAACTCATGGATGTCTGGAAATGTATATTCAATTCACAACCCCAACCCCCCTTCCTATTGTATTCCCCTATAATGACTAGTTGACTGTAGCCAATATGAAACATAAAGTCACCTTAGTGAATAATACTGGTAAAGTGGGGTAGTTATGCTTCAAATTTTCTATAGTTACATCAAGTATTCTTCCATTACTAAAAACAACAATGAGCTTATTATAAGCAAGTATGTGATTAAAAAAAAGTTACGTGGTTATGACATCACTTTCGGGGGTGTGTGGCACATATTCAACAACCTTGCAGTGAACCCGAACCGTGATGGATCATAAAATAAGATGAATCATGTTACGGTTATGAAAACAAAGATAAACTCGTTTGTAATTGATATATAGCCTACTTTGCTGGGATGTTATGATGCATAAGAATTTTTACATTTATATTAATCTTCTTGTTTTGTGTGTGTGTGTGTGATTTTGCTATTCAAGACATTTTAATGGGGAACTAATTCCCAATTCTAATAGAGTTCCCTTTTTATACGTCTGTCATACATTTTGTTAGCTTGCAAGATATTTCAACAAAAAATTATGAAACTGCTTCCCTTGAGACGTGTGGCGAGGAGAGTGACCTCATTTAAGACGCATTCACTTGCACTGGCTGGATTGATGTTTTGATTAACTACCGTACAGAAAACAGAAATGAAATGAAATGAAATGTAGCCTGTTTGAAATGAATTAGCCTATATGAGAGGTTCATGAAGGTTCCTCTTTTTTAAATGTATTTTTTTTTTAAATAAATTTAAACCCAAAAGTAAATATTGTGGGCAGACTAGGGAGGGAGGGAGTGGGTGAATCTGCTACTTAAAGGAGTAGTTCACTTTTAAAAGAAACTTTTGCTGATAATTTACTCACCCCCATGTCATCCAAGATGTTCATGTCTTTCTTTCTTCAGTCGAAAAGAAATTAAGGTTTTTGATTTAGATTTTTCTCCATACAATGGACTTCATTGGGAACCAAACGGTTTAAGGTCCAAATGAGTTTCAGTGCAGCTTCAAAGGGCTTTAAACGACACCAGAAGATGAATAAGGGTCTTATCAAGCGAAACGTTTGCTCATTTAATGAATAAATAATAATAACGAAGTTTAAGTTTTATAAGCTCAAATGGTCGCCTTGCTCTGTTCTGTGATGCGCGTTTGTGACTCTCCTGTTCGTACTCATTCATCAAAATGAACGAATCATTTTTCGAGTCAATTCGTTAATTTTTTTTTTTGTTGAATCAACCAAATGACTCGAAAAAAGATCGTTAGTCGTCGTCTGGTGTCGTCGTCTGGTGTCGTTTAAAGCCCTTTGAAGCTGCACTGAAACTCTCGTTTGGACCTCGAACCGTTTGGTTCCCATTGAAGTCCATTATATGGAGAAAAATCCTGGAATGTTTTCATCAACATGACATGGATATCCTGGAAGACATGGGGGTGAGTAACTTATCAGCAAAAGCTTTTTTAAAAGTGAACTACTCCTTTATTAAAAAGTGCTATTTATTATTATTGTTGTTTGGCCAATTGAATAACAATTGAATTTGTCTGAAGTGTCCCAGTTTGCCAATAAAGTTGTCCCAGTTTGACAGTAGCACCTGGAAAAATGTGGTTTAGGGTCAATGTGTGTTTGAGGAATAGTCATCCATCCTTAATTATGTATAGTATAGTAGAGCTCTTAAGCCATTTAGAATAGAATCATATGAAAAAATAAAAAATTATGCAGACGGAAAATTATCAGTGTCCCACTTTATCAGTATTAAACCTAGCGCTTTATACAATATACTGTTCAAAGCTGTGAAAACAGGAAAATGAAGCATTTGTTTAGCTGAAGTCAGTTCAGAGTTGATTTGTAAAGACCATCAATTATTGAAATAGTAAATTTAGTCAATAAAGCAGTTCTGCAAAAAATAAAAAAAAAAAAAAAATAGGTCATCGTCCAGTTCAATTCTCAGTCAAGTCAAGTGAAGTTATATATATATGTAAACCAAGAATCCAAAACAGGTTGAAAAGCAGTTTCAACAATGAAACATGATGACATTGCAGTCTCCTTCCTGGCACTTCCCAAGAAGTATTCTGTGCTTTCATCATATTTCACCAGATTGCCAGTAAGCCATGCTCACTAAATAAAAAAAAAAAAAAAAATATGGAGACCATGTGCCAAAACAGCTGAGGCCACCGCTGTCAGAGAGACTGAAAAACGAGTCTATGCTGTCCCCTGGTGGACCAAATGAGAAACTACAGTAACTGCCTGAAATTACTGATTTTTAAGTAGCTTTTTGAAGACATAAATACATTCAAGTAATAAATAATCAAATTAAATATAACACTCACATTTAATACTCAGAGTAACATCTACTTATGAAACATTTCCATCAATTTCTTCAGAAGTTTCTTCTAACTTCCAATCTTTCTTTCTATCCTCCTCTCACCAGCTCATCTTCTGTGAAAAGTGATAACTGCCCAAACTAGCTATATTTGGAATAAATCAGGACTGGTTTCTTCCGCTATGAATAAAAGCATATATCTTTTGTTTCTAAACTGCTCGGAAAAAAATTGTAACAATCTTCTTGATCCCTAATATCAATATGGTTTTCCGATTAGGCCATAGAAGTGAAAGTGCACTGCTAAAAATGACCAATGACCTGCTGATTCTGGCTTATTAATGTTCTCATCATGCTTGATTTAACAGCAGCTTTTGACTCTGTATCCCATCACATACTTGTTCCTCGTCTTTCAGCTTAGACATTATGTTAGTGCTCTTTCTTGATTTACATCATATCTCACTGTGACAATTCTTCATTGCTGTCCATAATTCTCCCACTTGTTCTCTCTCTCAAGGTATGCCTCAAGGCTCCGTTCTTGGACCTCTTCTTTTCAATCTTTATTTGTTACCCCTTGGTCATATCCATTGTCATGTTTTTACTATCATGCTGATGACCAGCAAATGTACAAATCTGCTTGACCTATTAAAAATCTCATATAAACTAAATCTATCTCATAAACTGAACTCCAAAGCCCCAAAGATACTGAAACTATAGTTCATGTTTTGATAACCTCACGTCTCGAATACTAACTTGCTTCTTATTGGACTTCCCACTAAAACAATTGCTAGACTTATAGCTAAACTATTATTATTATTCAAGTAAGCAATAACGGTTACCACACAATAAAAATATTAAAGTAAAAAAAAAATGTATATATATATAGTGCAACTTTCATGCAGTAAAACGACTTTATTCTCGATATTTAATGATTTTATTGTCAAGATAGTATTTCAACTTTTTTCTCGAAATTTAACGACTTTATTCTCGACATTTAATAAGTTTATTCTCAAGATTGTATTTAGACTTTTTTTCTCGAAATTTAACGAGTTTAATCTCGCATTATAATGACTTTAATCTCGAGATGGTTGTATTTTTTTATTATTATAAATACTTATAAATAAATAATTTTATTATTAATACTTATATACTAATATAGTTAATATTAACATGTTTTTATTTAGTTAAGTGCTTTTGTCATAGTTCTGTTTTTATATTAGGTTCACTTTATGACTTAATATTTTTTAAAAATTAATATTCTTATTTTTTAAATATATATTTTTTTTAGTTAGCTGCCAAATGCAACATTTTCATGTAGCTTTAAGTTTTTACATCCAATATTTCTATTTTATTTCAGCTTTATTTCAATGAACCATAATGTTTTGATAGATTTAGTTTAACTCAATGATGATAATAGGCCTAACCCTGATTTGGATTTAGGATTATATTGCCCTCGTGAAAACGTGCCAGTGTGAAACCCAGACTCTCACATATGTCTTGTTTTACAGCATATTTATAATAATGCATATAATAATGTTTCTATTCCAAATGTCTTCCTTCAGTTGTGTTACATCCATTGCTCTCCTTCTCCAAGTGGCCGGAAGAGGGATGTGATGTAAAAATCACATTGAACCGTTTTTTTCTTCCCCTGTGCAGCAGATCTTCCGATGCATTGTAACAGTGTTGAAGAACATAAACTCTTGAACACAATGCCTCGACATCTGTAATGGCGTGCTGACTTTCGGATGTGACTTCAACGAAACGATTGTCAGGATCCCGAAAACAGGTAATCTGTCAGTTTAAAGCGAAAGATAGAAAAGTTTCTGATGACAAACTGAAGTTGATGATTTTTCTGGACTCTTTTGTTGCGATTGAGAAACACTCTTGCGTTCAGACAGATCAGATGAACTCGAGGTGATTCATAGATGCTTGAAACGTTGTTTTGCCAACGTTGGACGCTTTTTTAAAGACATAGCTATTTCATTCACAGTTGTCTAGATTGTCTATAAAGTGTTGTATTGACAATATCATCCATACGGTTCTTTTTTATGTTTGATGATTATATTGGTAGAATGGTGGCATGTTTTGTGGCTGTTTTTTCACTTTATTGTTCTGATGAGTTTGTTGTAAGTTGATGCTTTATTTTTTTATTTGTCTCCTTGACAATCAGCTTTTTAAACTGCGCATGTCTAACTTTTACCTATAAAAACCGATAATAACTGATCGCCGTTACCATGACTACCTATAAAAGATCTGTTAGATGTTTTACCTTATGGAATCTGCATAAGGGATGTCCGATTAGTGAATGAATTGTTTTCCCGAGTCGGTTCACAAACAAACCGGTCTGAACGATTCGTCAACGAATCAGACTCAATCAATCAGTCCGAGCGGTTAAAAGTGCAACAGTGCTTTTTTTAGTGTTTGTTCATGAAAAAAGTGATCAATTTCCATATAGAGAAAATGAATTGAGTTTTTTGCCAGAACCTGAGTGTTGCACTCTATTATAACTTGTTGACTCCGTGAACTGAGAGTCGATTCTTTCCAACATGTTCAGTTCACAACTGAATGTGCTATTTTACTAATGGGGTGTTGCAGTTTCTTTAACAGACTAACTATTTTAGACTTGCATACGAAGAGTTAAAAAAATATCAACACATGCACAAATGTTTAAGTCAAGTAAAGAATTGCGTCATGCTGTAAAAGAATCGCAGATTTATTTATTCATTTTTTTCATCCAGTTTTTTCACTCAAACTGTTTGGAAATAAAATGAGCCTGCCTTTCCATCATTGGTCCATATTAATATCACATCTGGGCATGTTTTTATTGAGTCATGTTGTTTTTATAAGTTGTCATTTTAAACCCTTTATTTAATACATTTTCAAAGAATTATTTTTTAATGAAATTAATAAATGTGTTACTGTTTAAATTGTGCAAAAAAAAACCTAAATAGACTAGGCTATTTATTGGCAGGTTCAAATTGTGACAACTTACTCCTTCAAATTTAGGCTACCCTGCTATTGAATTGATTTTAAGAAAAAAAAAAAGCTAAACTTACTCTGAGAAATATTCACTGGAGTAAGTGTGACGACTAGCCCCAGTGTATTAACAGGAATTTATTATAAACTTTCATAAAAGAACAACACAGCTCAGGGCCTTGCTCTCAGTGAGGAGGAATTGGTGATGGATTTGAAAAATGAAAGATCTTTAATTGAAATTCATCAAGTTCACCTGTTGCATAAGAGGTGACAGGTTATGGATGTTTATTAACGATATAAACCATTTGTAACTGAGAATCCGAGGCATTTCATCTCCGAGTTTAATCTTCAGAAAGCCAGTTATAACAGCGATTTCCTCTGTTTTTTATTAAGTGACTTTCACTGTTTTTCTTTCTCCTGTGATGCAAGAAAGTGTTGTGTTTGCCAGAGCAGAGGTCAGATGTTGCCTAATAAATGAAAAATGCCTCGAGCGTAAATTCACTCATGCTCACAGCTCTTGTTTCTGTCTGTGTCTGATTATCAGGCTCTCTGTTCAATCTTGTATCTGTGAAAGTTACTGCAGACCGTAAAAGTGATAGTTCGACCAAAAAGGAAAATTCTGTCATCATTTACTCACCCTTATATTGCTGAATGAGTTTAAACCTGAAAGAGTTTCTTTCTTCTGTTGAACTACAAAATTTGGTAGCCATTGACAAAAATACTATGGCAGTCAATGGCTACCGTCAACTGTTTGATTTTTGGCTTGATGATGGTTTTGGGGATGCAAGAGAGTACGCGTTTGTTATAGAGACAATATGAATTTGATGAGAGAGGTTGAGTGATATTTGCAGTAAGTACCACAGTAGATGTGGTGAAGCACCAAAAAGCCTTATTCACTAATAGCTTGCTAAAACTGTACATCGAATGCAAGTGAAGCTCATTATTTACAATTTTGTTCTTACCTAAGTGATTTCCCAGAAATAAGAACAAAATCTATTCCCCGATGGACTGTAGGGGATGGGTGGGCTTTGCAAGCAGATGTCGTCTTATTTGCCAAATTTCTGAATTTCAGTTTTAAAAGAAATTAATACTTTTATTTAGAAAAAAAATTAAATTGATCAAAAGTGACGATAAAGATGAATGTGTATTTAAAAATGGGTCATTTATGTAGAAGAAATGTGAACTTGTTTTTGAATTTGGAGCTTTCTAGTAGGGGTGGGCGATATGGAAAAAATATCATATCACGATTTTTTCAGGAAAATCACGATCACGATTTTTTATCACGATTCTTTTTCAAGTTGCTTTTAATATTTTGCAAGTTGCAAAATTTTCTTCATTTACTCTCTCAAGATGTTTTAAACCCGAATAAGTTTCTTTCTTCTGTTGAAAATAAAAGTTATTTTGAATAATGTGGGTAACCGAACAGTTGCTGGTCCCCTTATAGTTTTTTTTTTATAGGTTCTCTCCTGGAAGTTAATGGGGACCAGCAACTGTTTGGTTACCCACATTAAAAAAAAAATTGTCTTTTGTGTTCAGCACAAGAAAGAAATTAATACAGGTTTGGAGCAACATTAGAGTGAGTAAATAATGACGGATTTTTTATTTTATTTTATTATTTTTTTTTTTTGTGAACTATCCCTTTAAGGACAAGCGGCAGTAATATTTATTCCTGTGGCTTTTAGACCAGCACGCGACGCGTTTAATATAGACGCATATTACACCAGATATTGTCTCAAATGTTTGCTTTCACTTTAGACATAGCCTGTTTATGTAAACATTGTGTGTATTTAACAGTATTAGCGTAATAAGACTCGAGAGATAACTTAGTCCAGTATTCAGGCGCTGTTTGACAGACTTCAGGCTTCTAGTGCCTGTGAGCGTCGGAGGTTATGCGGTCAGGAAAGCGCACGTTAGAACAGCGCATTAGCGCGTGAATTAAATGTTTAACCGGCAAGGCTCATGCAAATAATTAACTTTTGTGAATTGCAGTGTCCCGTACCTATTCCTTAACGTGTGATCATGTGTAGGCTACGTCGCGTTGTACAGTTGAGAGACGGAGGCGCCAGAACTGAACTGATAGAATGCACTGTAACACGATACTACGATATTTCTTCAAAAGCAGATCGTGGAGACATTTTAATCGTCCACGATTAAAAATCGTCATATCGCACACCCCTACTTTCTAGACTGAGAAAAGCCTGAAAATGTATTTTTGGCTGATGTGGATGAAAGACAACAACTCCCAGAATGCACTTGCTTCGCTGCCCTAGGAGGCCACGCCCACCGGTAACAGAGCGCAGTAGTTAAACAACAAGTCTAGGCTACTAGTGAGTCTCCGTGATGAGTCTGCCCGAAAATGTGTTTCGAGATCGCCCAAAATGTCCGGGATTCGGTTTTTGCGTTCTAGAGTCGCCATTTCTTTTTGTATACTGTGAGGGTCGCGGGAGAACGGCGCGAGGCCGGTGGCGTGATTACCGATGAGCGACACCTGTAAGACGCACCGGTCTCGTATCTCTCACGGAGGAGCGGGAATTTTTGGGGATGCACGATATATAGGTCAGCATATCGGTATCGGCCGATATAAGTTCATTTTTAATGTTATCGTTATCGGCCTGGTAAGAAAATTTGGCCGATATATTAAAGCCGATAAATAATGTATTATTCCCTTCAGCTGAAACACTTGTTGAGAACTGTTTATGTTTTTGAATTTCTTGAAAAATGATTGAAATCTCTTTAAAAAATGAAAATACAGTTCGGTTCAACATGTGCAGCGCAAATCTGTCATATCGGCTATACAACACTATAATGAGAACATCATTATAATTGTGCGCTTGGGACATGGATTTAATTGTGAGACTTTTGTTTTTGTAATCAGGCTCTCAAAATTAGGTTAAAAAAAATTGGGATTTAAATTTATCAGCCGATATATCGGTTATCGGCTTTCAAATATAAAGAATTATCGGTTATCGGTATCGGCCAAAATTTTCATATCGGTGCATCCCTAGGAATTTTCTTAGCAATGTTAAAACGCACATCAACCGATCACTTGTTTAGCGTTCATGTAAACACTACATTCAGATCCACCAATCAGAATGAATTCAGTTAGATTGAAATAAAAGGTGTGCATGTAAACAATGAATGGCGTCTGCAGAAAGCAAAAGCTGAATCCCGGACATCGACGGCCGGCCATGTCCGGGAAAAAGAGGATGGGAACCCCTACTACTCGGCTTTCTCCACAGAACAAGAGCCTGCTAGCTTAGCTTCCAAAACAAGATGGCCGACACTATGTGTTCATTCTGTAAGTGAGATCGCCCTCTATGGGCGGGTTGAGAACATGCGGGACAGACCCTACTACTGACTGTAGTCTTTAGCCTCTGGACAAAAAAATCCTCCGATGACGCAAAATGATGATTTTTACATCATCAGACAAAAAAAAAATACGTAAATCTCTCGTCTCAGGGGGATATGAGGGTGGAAAGCGTGGTAATTCGAAAATACTACAGGTTTTCTTCTAATACAAAGCTTAATGCTAAATCCTGAAGTATCCGTTTAAGCTTTCTCTTCATCAAAGCATCCCAGGCAAAACAATTGGTTTCTACAAAAATATTAAGCAGGATAACTGTTTTCAACCTTGATAATAATAAGAAATGTTTCTTAAGCGGGTCCCATGAGAATGATTTCTGAAGGATCATGTGACACTGAAGACTGGAGTAATGATGCTGAAGAATTGTAGCTATTTCATGCTTTTACAGTTTTTACTGTATTTTTGGTCAGATAAATGCAGCCTTGGTGAGCATAAGAGTCAAAAAA